GGTCTAGCTCTTCCCCTTGGTTGGGTGGTCTGTAGTAGACCCCCACCGTTAAGTCTCTTTCACCTCAACTGCCTTGTATTCTACCCCAGAGCACTTCAGTGTTCCCCTCCTCTGACTCTGTGCTACTTGATGAGGATGTGTATTCCTTCTTAATGTAGAGCGCCACACCCCCGCCTTTCCTCCCTGTCCTGTCCCTCCTGTACAGCCTATAGCCCTTGATATTCACCGCCCAGTCATGCGTTGGGTCCCACCACGTTTCGGTGAGCCCCACTATGTCTGGGTTGGTGTCAGCTAGCAGGAGGGTAAGTTCCTCCTGCTTGTTTCCCATACTATGAGCATTTGTGTAGAGGCATTTGAGGCCTCCTGTGGATGTGTGCACTGGCCCCCTAATCTCAGCATTGCCCTGGCCCCTGTTGCTTACATGAGTATATGTTCCGCTTGTCCATCTAGGTTGGGCTGTACTTGTAGGTGCTGCTTGGTTTAGCAGTCCAAGGCTTCCTCTGCCCTTGTCTTCCCCTTCATCAAGGTCTGTTGGTAAAAGGTTGGTCTTCTACATGGCAATGAAGTATGCCTCCATGTTTAGCTCTCAGTTTAGGAGCATGAATAAGTAGGTCCTGTTTAAATTGATCCCTTTTGGAGTAGGTTAGCTGAAAAAGGTAGTTTAATTTTTTCTGAAGTTCTCCTACATAGTTATGTTGCACAGTTGGAACTGTGAGTGTTGGTCAGAGTGTTCCAAGAGATGAGTCCTCCCAGGAATGTTGTTAAGTTACTTGCACATGCTTAATGTAGCAGGGTACACCTCCAGTGTTGGCCATGATATCCCTTGGTGTGTGAAGTACCCCTACCTCATATAGTCTCGCCTGGTCTCCCCAAGCTACAACCTAACTTTATCTGCCACACTTTATTATAAAGTTAGGGAGACAGTCCTTTGGGGCTCAGGTGAGCCTCTAGGTGTCTCTTCCTTCCAGTGCCACTCTCTTTTTCTACTTTCAGTAATGATAGACTTTTGATAGGCCCAAGCCTGTCATTCTCTGGGCCTGCACCCTACTCGCATAGCAAGCCTGTGCCCCAGTGCTACCAGTTGTGGCCTGACCCTAATTGTGCATTAGAAACATCAATCATAACCTCCAGCCTCCCCCATCACCATACCTATGCCTAGTTGGTGTTACTCAGTTTTCATTCATTGAGTCTTCTGGCTCAGATACTCATTTCTGCCTAATCAGGCTCCAGCCTCTATTCAGGCTTCAGCCCCCTCAGCCTTATCCCTCTTTCTCTGGTTGTGGCCTTCACCCTTAGCCTACTGGCTCTGGCTTCATCTCCTCAGCCTCCT